TACACACTAAATTTAGCTAAGTCAAAAGTGGTCTTCGTACCCGAGGTAAATAATAATTATGGACCCTAGTGAAGTTAACTAGGAGGTTCTGGCTTTATAACAGTAGAGATTTACCTCGGTGCTCTTGGTCCATGATTATGATTAGCTGGCAAACCAATCTTCGTCGTTTGAATTAATTAGAAAGAAAAAAGTGAAAGACATGGGGAATGCGGTTCCAGTTATGGTATATTCTGAAATGCTTTTGTAGACATCGAAATTTCGGTAAATAAATGTTGACCGATAAATCAAAGTGTCAACGCTCATGTATTACATAAATTTTACACGTAGCGTGTGTCTAAACAAAAAATCAAAATAAGTTGGAAAAGTCATCAAACAGGACACGTGTCAACACCTGGCAGAAACGACTTATTTCATCTGGAATATTATATTCAAAATTAGGCCTTGGAAATTTCTATAAATAGAAGGCTAATTCATTCATTTGAGGGGAACCAAAATCATTAGGCAAAATTCTTGAAGCTCTGAAGCTCTGAAACTCCGAAGCTCTCAAGCATCCAGGTTCCCGAAGAATCAAGAAAACGTTCTTCGTTCTTCGTTCATCGTTCTTCCAAGATCAAGACCAAACAACCCCTTTGGATCAACAATCATCCACCAATTCAAGATCAAGCCCCGACGGCCCTTGAAGAAAGTGTTCTTCGTTCTTCGTTCATCGTTCTTCCAAGATCAAGCCCCAACGGCCATTTGGATCAACAATCATCCACTAATTCAAGATCAAGCCCCGACGGCCCTTGACGAAAGTGTTCTTCATTCCTCGTTCATCGTTATTCCAAGATCAAGCCCCGATGGCCCTTGGATCAACCATCCACCAATTCAAGATCAAGCCCCAAAGGCCCTTGAAGAACTTCCACCAATTCAAGATCAAGCCCCGACGACCCTTGAAGAAAGCACCATCGTTCATCATCCGTTCATCCTAAGATCAAGCCCCAAAGGCCCTTGAAGAACTTCCACCAATTCAAGATCAAGCCCCGACGACCCTTGAAGAAAGCACCATCGTTCATCATCCGTTCATCCTAAGATCAAGCCCCAACGGCCCTTTAGATCAACAAACATCAACAAATCCATACATCCAACCGTTCTTCAAGATCAAGCCCAAAAGCCCTTGAAGATCCGTTCATCACCGTTATTCAAGATCAAGCCTTAACGGCCCTTGAAGAAACACTCATCCTCAAGATCAAACCCCAACGGCTCCTTGAAGATCCGCTCAAATCCACCTTCAAAGATCAAGCCCAGGGCCCCCTTGAAGAAACTTCCAACAGTTCATCCAAGATCAAGCCTCGACGGCCCTTGGATCAACGAAACATCCACAAATCAACACCTTACGGAGATCGAATCAGAGGATCAAAATAGAGAGAGATTGTAACCCAAAATCATCAAATACAAATATTTGTTTGTGCACGTTGTTCTTGTCTCTTTCGTTTTCAGGAAATTTTCGTGTTCACAAATTGGCACGCCCAGTGGGACCATCTCTACCTCTCATCTCTTTCTCCGTTCAAGAAATTCGAGCACACTTCCAAAATTAATGGCATCAAGGAAGGCTCAAACTGTTCCCGCAACTGGCGTAAAGAACAAGAGCGTCATCGTCGCAAGTGGTGTCACTTTAGGCATCACGACTCGAAGCAAGGCAAGAGCTACTTCTGCCGCCTCTTTCACCTCTGCATCAACTCTGCCAAGGGAACAAGAGCACCCAAGGCAAGAGCCTTTGATCACCTTAGCCTCACCAAAGGCACCAAGGGGCGAAAGTCCAAGGAAATACTCTGAATCCATGCTTTCCAATGCCGATTCGAGCGGCAGTTCAGCCATGCAAGTCATGACCATTGGAGCAACTTCAATCGATGAGCAGCTGGCTCAAATGAATGAAGCAATCGCAAGGCTAACACGAACTGTGGAAGAAAAAGACTTGCAAATCGCTGCACTCGTCAGCCGACTGGAGCCACAGGACGACGAGAACCCCGACCCAAAGAATGATCCACTAAAGAGAAGAGATGACGAAGAAGAGGAGCCTCAGGTGGAGAAAAACGATGTGAAGCCGGAGCCAGACCAAGCAGCAGCACTCATGGGATCTCTTTCTATCCAGCAGCTGCAGGAGATGATCACCAACACCATCAAGGCACAGTACGAAGGGAGTTCACATACCTCCTTGTTCTACTCGAAGCCCTACTCTAAGAAGATTGATGCCCTGAAGATGCCAAGGGGTTATCAACCACCAAAGTTCACGCAGTTTGATGGAAAGGGAAACCCGAAACAACACGTTGCCCACTTTGTTGAAACTTGCAACAATGCAGGGACCGAAGGGGACTACCTTGCCAAGCAGTTTGTGCGCTTGCTGAAAGGAAACGCCTTTGAGTGGTACACAGACCTAGAACCTGAGTCCATCAACAGCTGGGAGCAATTAGAGTGGGAATTCCTCAACCGCTTTTATAGCACCCGCCGCACTGTGAGCATGCTAGAGCTAACGAGCACAAAGCAATGGAAAGATGAGCCGGTTATTGACTACATCAACAGATGGCGCACTCTAAGCCTCGACTGCAAAGACAGGCTCTCGGAGACCTCTTCAATCGAGATGTGCGTCCAAGGTATGCAATAGGGTTTGCAATACATCCTTCAAGGCATTAAACCACGGACCTTCGAAGAGCTAGCCACCCGCTCCCATGACATGGAGTTGAGCATCGCCCATCATGGGAAGAAAGAACCGATCGCCGACTACAAGAACGACAAAGTTCTTGGGCCAAAGTTGGAGAAGACTGCGTGGAAACCCACCAAGGAAGCAATGACGGTCAACACAGCTCCCGTCAAAATCCCTACACGAGGCAAGGCGATTCAAACCGAAGCTTTTCGTGATCAAGAGATGCGTAGACGCACTTTGAAGGAGCTTGAGGAGATGACTTATCCATTCCCCGACTCTGATGTGGTTGCCATATTAAAAGACTTGCTAGAAAAGAAAGTGATTGGTTTGCCTGAGTGCAAACGGCCAGAAGAGATGAATCGCACTGACAGTCCAAGGTACTGTAAATTCCACCGCTTCATCAGTCATCCGACAGAAAAATGTTTCGTGCTGAAAGATCTCATCATGAAACTGGCTCAGAAAGGAATCATCGAGCTAGATCTTGACGATGTGGTGAAGTCAAACTATACCACCTTCACTTCTGGCTCTTCCGACTCAAATTTTCACCTCAACCGCTAGGGGCATCCTCCAAGACAAGCAAAGTTGAAGGATGGACTCAAGTCACTCCTAAGAAATTGCACAAGAAGCATACGTCTCCTCCACAAGTTCGCTAATCGGAAAGGGGGCAAAGCAGCTCTTGTCAACCTTCAAAGCAACGTGAACGTGTTGAAGATGATGAAACTTCGACACGAAGATCGTCCGTCCCCATCACAATGCGCGATTTCTTGCCCGAAGACTTCTTCAATCACTCGGTCAAGGCTCCGTGCTATGAAGATTGTGAGGAACGCCTCTCCAAAATTGCTTGACAAATTCACCAATGCTCCTTGTTCGCATGAGCCTAAACTGCACGAACCAAAGCTCCTTGTCTGTAAGAGCCTAAACTGCATGGCACAACACTCATTGCCTGCATGAGTTAAAACTGTAAACGGCACAAAAAGAAAATACCAAAAAATATGTATGTATTTGAACTACGTTTTGACTTGATCTCTTTGGAAGGGTACGTAGGCAGCTTGAATATTCAATTTCAAGTTCAGTCACATCAAATAAAAAAACAATAATAATAATGTTTTATTAAAAAAAAATATATATATATATATATATACACACACACATATGTTTTATGTATTTAAAAAGAAAGAAAAAAAAAAGGAGTTCTTTTACATACATATACATATATATATATATATGTATGTATGTATATGCATCAGCAGCCAGCCCACCAAAAGGAGGACATCCAAACCCAAGTGGCAGTGACCAGGCCCAAACCTATTGTCCAAATTCAGCATCATACCCAGGACCGATCTCCCATCTCCTCTCAACCCAATTCCAAACAACCGCAGGACTCTAATCCTCCTCACTCTCCTGTCCCTGGCTGCCACAATCCAACCCCATAAACGTCACCATGAAAGGTGGCGCTGCCACTGGCGGCAGTCCTAGTTTCAACAACAACAACATTACTACTACTAGTGACCAAACGACGACGTCTACGTCCTCCTGGGGCACGTGGGAGGAGCTCCTGCTAGCATGCGCCGTCAAGCGCTACGGCATCCACGACCGGGACACCGTCGCCATGGAACTCCAAGCCAAGATCTCTCTCTCCCCTTCTACCGAGACCTGCTCCTCCTCTTCAACAATGCCGTCGTCTTCTTCCCCAAATCCTCCCTCGAGTCAAGGACTGCTCACTAACTCCGCCGCCTCGTCTTGAATGAAATGAAAGAGAAGAATCTCATCACTCGGCCCAACCAAGACCCTTCATCTGAGCCATCAGACTCCGTAGTTCCTGCACCCGCCACAAGTCAGCAACCCAAACGCCCTGAACAGCTTGAAAGATCAGATTCCTTGCTTGCTAAGCAAAAGTGTACTGCACCCATCGTTGTCTGCTACAAAAGGAGCTCCATTCTGTCAAAACTTCCGCGGCTGTTTCTAGCTTTGGTCAGACTCTCAAAGGAGATGAGAAGAAGAAAGCAGCATCTTTTGATCTTAAACCGTCCATTAAACGCCACCAAGGCCTCTTCTGATGATCATGCAGCAGCTGAAAAACATGGCAGTTCAGTACTAGTAAAGAGTGATGCTGCTGCTGCTAAAGCCAAAGACAACCCCGTGATCACTAGAACCAGAAGCTCGAGAAGGACGAGTATGAGTACTGCTCATCACGAGAATAATAATGGCAGTGCTTCCAAGAAGAAACAAAGTGCGAGCTCGGCAAGTTTGAAAGCCGAAACTCCCAAACCGGATAAGAAGGGGAAAACGGAGGCAGCAGGGTCGGACAAAAAAGCGTAGTATGGCAGCTGATTTCTTGAAGAGAATAAAGCGCAATTCACCTGCGGACACACTGAAGAGTGGTGGCACTGGCACCGGCACTGGTTCTAGATCAGGTGGAGAGCAAAAGAGGAGGGGAAATGGTGGTAAGGTTGACAAAGTTAAAGAGAGGGTGTTAAGGCAAAGCGGAGATAAGAAGAAACAAGCCAAGGAAGAAAGCAGCAGCTCCGGCGAAGCCTAAAGTTGCAGTGAAGGAACAAGTGTTAAGGCTATGAACACTTGGTGGTTTTCGTTGGCGGCAGCGACGTCCTCCTCTGTTCTCCTCACCACTGCGCCGCTGCCTACAACTCCAGCTCTGCCACGACTGGCAACCATTGTCACAACAGCTGCGGTAGTCGCGAGCAGGACTCTTCATCACCATCTCTGCAGCTCTCCCCTTTTGCCCATCAGTTCCAAGCAGCAACGGCAACGGCAAAGTCTCCGACATCAACGCTGCACCGCTCTTCTCTTGCATCCTCCTCCGTCTCTTGCCTCGCAGCTGCCACCAACTTCAAAGACCGCTGTCAAACGACTAGCCGGCCGAGAAGCCCTTCCTCAAACTCCAGCTCTTCGTCCGTCTTCGTCCTTCCCTACAAAATCCCTTAGCCAAGCATCCTAATTTATACAAAAAAAAAAAAAAAAAAAAAAAAAAAAAAAAAAAGTGGTGGAGCAAAGCAAAGTGGTGCTGTCACCACATGAAAAAAAAAGGGGGGGTGCATCAGGCACCATGTGCAAAGAAAAAATAAAAGAATAAAAAATATATATATATAATAATGGTAAAGGTTTTGGGTGAAGCTGTCACCACGTGAAAAAAAAAGGGGGGGGGTGCATCAGGCACCATGTGCAAAGAAAAAAATAAAAGAATAAAAAAAAAAAAATATATATATATATATATAATAATGGTAAAGGTTTTGGGTGATCCACTTACCGTGTTTTGATTGTTTTAAAGCCAAGCTGGAAAGAAGGAGAAATAATATAAAAAAAAATTTGGTGGAGTCTTGGTGCCTCTGGCACCATGTGAAAAAATTTAAAAAAAAAAAAAAAATGAATGGTGGATCAGTCCACGTGAAAAATTAATATTAATATGTATGTATGTATGTGTGCATAATATATGTATGTTTACAGCAAAAAAAAAAAAAAAAAAAAAAAAAAAAAAAAAAAAAAAAACAAATGCATTGAGAGAAATAAAATCCGTTTTTATTTATTTTTTTCTGGAAATTTTACATAAATTTGCATTATACATACTTTAAACAAAAAAAAAATCAAATTTTCAAGAAGGGATTTTCAAGGTTGCTCAGATGGCGCCTCAGTACTCAGCGGAGCCCCAGATCGAAAAGGCACCAGAGGGTGATTATTCAAAGCCTCAGTACTAGGCAGAACCCCAAGAGGAGGAGGCACCAAAGGTTGATCATTTGAGGCTTCATTACGTGTTACAGCCCCAGAAGACGAAGGCAAATGCTGCTGGAACAAACCCACAAACCTCTGATAATCAAGTAAAATCTGACCATCAGATTCCTGCATCTGGTCAATCTTCCTCTCCATGTTTGTCGCATAGCTATAGGCGAGCTTATGCAACTGTTTATTCTCCTGCTTGAGCCCTCTAATCTCTTGTTTGAGACTCATCACCTCAGCCGCCAATGATTCAACTTGACGGGTTCGAGCAAATAGGCGTTGGGCCATATTAGACACAGAACCTGCACACTGCACACTAAGAGCCAGATAATCCTTAACAGCCAACTCATCAGACCGTTTGGAAAGTAGTCTGTTATCTCTGGGAGTGACAAGGTTTCGGGCCACCACCGCAGCGGTCATATCATTCTTCACCACCGAATCCCCAACGGTAAGAGGACCAGTAGGGGATATGAAGGATGGGCGCCATATGTTGTCTGGAGAAGGCGGGACTGCCTCTTCACCAAGGTTCAAATCAAAACGACGGTCGGAAGGCCCAGACATTTTCAAAGGTGTTGAAGAAAGAAGAGGTCGGACAAATTAAGATCTTAGAAATGCAAGAGGGGAGTTTCTACAAGCGAAAATTCAAGTGTGCTTTGAAACGAACTGCGTGCCTCTATAAAAAAATCAGCACTCGACGGGATTTCAGAGATCGAAGAGGTGAGCTTAGAGTTCGAAAATGCCGATTCAAAAATCGAAGAGGCAAGCTCAGAAATCGGAGAAGCATCTTGCTTTTCCAGACGCGTTAGCACCCGTCACACGCAAACTCAGCTTTGCGGAAATCACGGGCAATTTGTTAAAGCGCCAATCCTAGGTATCGAAGAGGCGCCAGTCTTTTTCAGCGTCGTCAGCACCCGTCATGCGCAAACTCAGCTTTGCGAAAATCACGGGCAATTTGTCGAAGCGCCGATCCTAGATATCGAAGAGGCGCCAGTCTTTTTCAGCCTCGTCAACACCTATCACATGCACACTCAGCTTGACGAAATTACGGACAATTTGTCGAAGATTTCTGATAAAGAAGAAAGCACGTGAAGCCATACTGATCAATCACGCATTGGTTACCAACACGAGTAAAAGAATAGTACCTCTACAGGTACTAAAGAAATTCCTATAACTGTCCACCTTCACCCTTCATAGCAAGGCAGACATATAGAACCTTTCTTCATCTCTGAGAATGCCTTCCCAACGAAGCCTCTCGGGTCACTCAGTGTTCCTTATTCCTTGGGGTACCTCTGCAAGCCAATGACTCCAAAGCAAAAGTATCTCATATTACCAGGGTAGAAAGCAAGAGTATCTCATATCATGCGTTCTCCCTGTCCTTTCCTTTGTCCTTGTTCTTACCTACAAAGACAAGGATAAAGAAAACAATATGGCGGAACCTCCACTCAAACTCGGGTAAGGAACCGACTGCTTGGAACCCTTCCCTGATTGCCTACTTAGCACTGCTCTCGAGTACTCGTCTCCCACTGCTGCTGTACTTCCAAAGAAGCTGCCACATCTGCCTGAAGAACGGATAAGGCAAGTGAAAATGATACCTTGCAGCATGTGGAGACAACGTGCAGAAGAAACAAGCAGAGAAGAATGCAGCCTACACAGTCAACTCAGCAGAAGGAGTCTGAGATGAGGAACTCGAGAAGATGCCACATCTGCCTGAGGAACAGATAAAGGAAATAAAAATGATACCTTGAAGCATGTGGAGACAAGTGCAACAAAGCACGTGCTGATTCATCCGCTACTTCAAAATCAAAAGTATCTCATATCATTAGGGTTGCAATCACTCTGGGTAGTGGACTCGTTTTGACCCTCAAATTCTTGGGTCGACTCGCTAGGCGTTGTGGGCTGCACGTGCCGATTCACCACCCTTGAATCGAATCCTTAAAGATCAAGTCACCAACTGGAAGAAGAGCCCATCAATCTTGAAGATCATACCGTTGACCAAACTGCTCAGGTGTGAATTAGAAAGATTGAACAAAGAAATAGGTTGTCACCTTCACCTCGTGCCTGCTTGCCATGTGTTCGAGTCAACCTTCAAGAATCAAGCCTCAACGGCCCTTGAAGAAGTTTCCAGCCAAATTCAAGATCAAGCCTCGACGGCCCTTGAGGAAATCACAAGTCCGATTCAAGATCAAGTGTCTACCACTCTTGAATCAAAACCTAGTTCAAGAATAAGCTGTGGAAAATCAACAATTGGAGGAATCCAGAAAATCCTCCAACCCAGTTCAAGATCAAAGCTGTGGAAAGTCAACAAAGCGCAAAAACAAATACGTGCCGATTCATCCACTACCAAAGCCAAAGATCATCTACCACATGAAGCTTCTTGTGGTCCAATTTCAACCTTCAAGATCAAGCCTCGACGGCCCTTGAAGAAATTTCAAACAAAAGTTCAAGAACAAGCCTCAAACGGCCCTTGAAGAAATTTCCAGCCCAATTCAAGATCAAGCCCCAACGGCCCTTGGATCGACATCTACAATAAGGGACTTCAAAACACATCTCCTACACATGACAAGCACATGTATACGACGCGCCTCGAAGTGGGGGCATTTGTAGACATCGAAATTTCGGTAAATAAATGTTGACCGATAAATCAAAGTGTCAACGCTCATGTATTACATAAATTTTACACGTAGCGTGTGTCTAAACAAAAAATCAAAATAAGTTGGAAAAGTCATCAAACAGGACACGTGTCAACACCTGGCAGAAACGACTTATTTCATCTGGAATATTATATTCAAAATTAGGCCTTGGAAATTTCTATAAATAGAAGGCTAATTCATTCATTTGAGGGGAACCAAAATCATTAGGCAAAATTCTTGAAGCTCTAAAGCTCTGAAACTCCGAAGCTCTCAAGCATCAAGGTTCCCGAAGAATCAAGAAAACGTTCTTCGTTATTCGTTCATCGTTCTTCCAAGATCAAGCCCAAACGGCCCCTTTGGATCAACAATCATCCACCAATTCAAGATCAAGCCCCGACGACCCTTGAAGAAAGTGTTCTTCGTTCTTCGTTCATCGTTCTTCCAAGATCAAGCCCCAACGGCCATTTGGATCAACAATCATCCACTAATTCAAGATCAAGCTCCGAAGGCCCTTGAAGAAAGTGTTCTTCGTTCCTCGTTCATCGTTATTCCAAGATCAAGCCCCGACGGCCCTTGGATCAACCATCCACCAATTCAAGATCAAGCCCCAAAGGCCCTTGAAGAACTTCCACCAATTCAAGATCAAGCCCCGACGGCCCTTGAAGAAAGCACCATCGTTCATCATCCGTTCATCCTAAGATCAAGCCCCAACGGCCCTTTAGATCAACAAACATCAACAAATCCATACATCCAACCGTTTTTCAAGATCAAGCCCAAAAGCCCTTGAAGATCCGTTCATCACCGTTATTCAAGATCAAGCCTTAACGGCCCTTGAAGAAACACTCATCCTCAAGATCAAGCCCCAACGACTCCTTGAAGATCCGCTCAAATCCACCTTCAAAGATCAAGCCCATGGCCCCCTTGAAGAAACTTCCAACAGTTCATCCAAGATCAAGCCTCGACGGCCCTTGGATCAACGAAACATCCACAAATCAACACCTTACGGAGATCGAATCAGAGGATCAAAATAGAGAGAGATTGTAACCCAAAATCATCAAATACAAATATTTGTTTGTGCACGTTGTTCTTGTCTCTTTCGTTTTCAGGAAATTTTCGTGTTCACAGCTTTTACACATGACATGAAAACGCACATTACACAACTCACAAAGTACTTACAGGACATGCGCTCCAAAAGGCAGGACAAAGGAATAGGAACAAGCCAGAGCCTCTCAAAGTATAAGTCAGTATCCTCCAAGGTGCATGGCAATTTGGCATCCTATACTGGTCGGATATAGGTTTATATGGGGGGCACACCAGATGGACGAACAACTAACAGTGAAACAAATATCTATTGTACATCTGATGCGGCCATATAGTGACATTCAAAAGATTCAAGAAAGTAACACATCACATTGCACAAGCAAAGTGGTTTCTTTCCAGTTTAAGTTAATAAAAAGAAAGCCATCTACTCCATGTTGAATCTATTGGCACAATTCTATAGCATGTTTATGTACGTTAAGATCACATATAGTACTGGTTTAGTACTAAGGTGTTATAAAAAGTGGGTATAAAAAAAAGCTGAGCTTAAAAAGGTGTTTAGTAAATACTTAAAAACAAGTTATTTTCACAATTTTGGATGAAAAAAAGTTGAAAACGTGAAGCAGCATAAATGTTGGATTAGATTTTGAATCTTGAATTATGATTTCTTGTTAAACATTAGATTATATGTTTAAGATAAATTTTAGAAATATTTTTCTTTTAAAAATAAAGAAGCAGACCATCGGCGTTGCAGATGGCGTCAATGGTTGGGCTAATTATGGCATAGACGGTGGTGAGTACGCAAGGGAACTCATGAAGAACGCCTTTTATCGCCGCCCATATTTACAATAAAAATAATAACAATGTGAGTAATGAACTAAAAAGAAAAAGAAAGGGGCCTTTTGATAAACAGTTGATTGGAGCCGTTGATCCAAGAAACGTTTTGGAGGAAGCTCATGAAAAGAATAAGGAGAAGATTGGACTACAAGGCTCATCAACCGCTTGCATCCTCAGCTTCAACAAAGAGAGCGGAGTCTTGCATGTTGTGAACGTTGGGGACAGCGGGCTCATGCTATTTAGGGACAACAAGCTTCTGTACCAATCTCCGATTCAGCAGCGCATGTTCAACTTTACGTATCGGTTGGGGAACGGCATCAACAGCGATAGTCCTGATTCCGCTTGGGAGAAAAAGGATATTCAGACAGTCCAGGGGGACATCATATAGAATTTGAGATTGGAAAGGAAAAGTATGAATGCAAAAGAACAGAGAATAGGTGAGAATAATTTTGTGATTGATTTTCTTGATTATTTGCATTAGCATAGATTGTAAATATATACATATTACATTAGTTGACTTTGTAAAGCCATAGAAGGTAAGTATTAGAATACAATACAATAGTAAAGGCAAAGATTGAGTGAATCGTGCAGTGTAGCAAATCACGTCCTAATGGCAGATTTGTCTGCTTGATTTGCTGGACCTGTAGTAATCTCTTTATCCCCCCTCAAGCGAAACGGAACAAAGTGAAGATTGAGCTTGGAAATAAGGAAGGAGAGTCATTCACGAGATAGTCCTTTGGTGAAGACATCGGCAATTTGATGTTGTGAAGGCATATGCCGGGGTGGCAAGGACCCCCTGAGCAAGTAACTCACGAACAAAATGGTAGTCAATTTCTATGTACCGTGTGCGAGCATGGAAGACCGGATTTGTAGCCATTTGAAGAGCAGAGACATTATCGACGTAAATACATGGTGGAGTGTAAAGAGGAAGACCAATCTCACGAAACAAATAGCAGAACCACCGTAGTTCTGCTGCTGTGGTGGCAAGAGCGTGATATTCAGCTTTAGAGCTTGAGCGAGACACCGTGGATTGCTTTTTAGCAGTCCAAGTCAGAAGGTTCAGGCTAAGGAAAATGCACGCACCACTAGTGGATCGACGATCATCAACAAAACCAGCCCAATCAGCATCGAAAAATCCACGAAGAGAGAAGTCCGTTGAGGAACGGAAGAGGAGACCATGTGCAACGGTGCCCTTGATATAGCGATAAATGCGCTTGACTGCTTGAAGATGAGTGGTTTTCAGATTGTGCATGTATTGACAAACTTGATTGACAGCATAGGTAATGTCGAGGCGTGAGAGAGTAAGATATTGGAGCCCACCAACCATACTACGATATGTCTCTGGGTTAGAAAGTGGATCACCATCATGTGCAGATAAGCGTGTGGATGAGAGGAATGGAGTGGGACTTGGCTTGCAAAGATCCATCTTAAATTTTTTTAACAAATCAGAAGCATAACGAGATTGAGAGAGACACAGGTGGCTGCCATTGCGGATGACCTCTATGCCAAGAAAATAATTAAGATCCCCCAACTTCTGACTAGCAAAGGTGGCATATAATGTATCAATGAACTGATGAATAGCAGCAAAATTAGAACCTGTAACAATCAAATCGTTAACATATACAAGCACATATAGAGAATATGTGGAAGATTGATAAATAAACAAAGATGCATCTGATCGGCTATGGAAGAACCCTTGGCTATGCAAAAAGGAGTTTAAGCGTTGAAACCATGCACGTGGATCTTGTTTAAGACCATAGAGTGCCTTGTGAAGACAACAAACATGCTGAGGGTGTTGGGAATCGACAAAACTAGGTGGTTGTTTCATATAGACCTCTTCAAGCAAGATTCCATTCAAGAAGGCATTACGAATATCGAGTTGTTGTAAAGTCCAATTTTTTGCAAATAGCTAAGGCAAGGATTGTACGAATAGTCCTTGGTTTGACAACGGGACTTAAAGTTTCTTCGTAATCAAGACCTGCTTGTTGGTTGTAACCCTTGGCGATGCTTTATGTCGATCAATAGAACCATCTGCTTTGCGTTTCACCTGAAAGACCCATTTGCATCCGACAATATTCATATGAGGAGTAGCGGGAACAAAATACCATGTTTGGTTTTGACAAAGGGCTTCATACTCTTCTGTCATAGCTTTCTGCCAATGAGGATACTTGGTTGCTTGAATGTAGCTAGATGGTTCGAACTACATGGGATCATTAAGGGGTCGAGCCATAGACTATATTGTTGACACTTTTAAACTTTTGATGGTCAGGAGAGTGTGCCTGATCAAGCACAGGAGCATTATTGGTTGGCGTGAGCACCGTCGATGGGAAGGGCTCATCGGTGGATATATGGGTCCGTGGGTTTGGAGAAACACCATCAGAATGATCTGGCAATGGAGAAATGGGTGCCAAGCCAAGGGGTGTGGAAGAGGTATCTAGGTTCGTGGCCTCATGGTGGGAAGAAAAAGGTGTAGCTTGTGGGGGCTGCTGTGCTTGGTTGTGGGGAGCAAAACTAGGCATGGTAGTGGGGTCCATAACAAATTGTTGTTGCGGCGGCATGCTAGGAGAAGTTGCAGTTGTGATGGCTTGATATGGAAAAGTGGATTCATCAAATTGAACATGCCGGGAAATATAAACCTTACCAGAGGCAATGTCTAAACACCGATAGCCCTTGTAATTGTTATCGTAGCCAATAAAAACACATTTGATGGATTTTGTCATTAACTTATGAGAATTGTAGGGAACCATATGAGGAAAGCATGTGCAACCAAATGTCTTCAAGAATCGATAGTTTGGTGTCCTGTCAAATAACTTTTCATAAGGTGAGACATCCCCAATATTGTGCAGAGGTAACCGATTAATTAGAAAGGCGGCCGTGGTGAAAGCTTCCACCCAAAATGAGGACAGAAGATAGGATTGGGCAAGTAAACATAGACCCATTTCAACAATATGACGATGCTTTCTTTCAACAATGCCATTTTGTTGGGGAGTATAGGGACAAGAAAGTTGTTGAGTAATGCCATGTTAACGTAGAAAAATGTGGAAAGCATTGCTAGTGAATTCACCACCACCATCAGTTTGCACAATTTTTATTGTTCGTGTCAACCGATGTTCAACCATTCTTTTAAATGTAATGAAGGTAGACATAATATCAGATTTTCTTGCAAGGGGAAAGAACCACACAAATCTGGAGCATTCATCCACTATTGATAAATAAATTTTGTGCCCAAAATTAGAGAGAGTTGGAGCAGGTCCCCATACATCAAGATGCAAAAGATCAAGTGGATGTTGAGCTATAGATGTGCGAGAATTGAAAGGTAAGCGACATGATTTGCCTAATGGACAAATGTGACATTTGTTATTGGAGGATCCACCACTAATAGGTAAGTGATATTTATTGGCAAGAACTTGAAAAATAGCGGTTGATGGATGTCCAAGACAAGCGTGCCACACATCACGAGTCGTCCATTCTCCATAGAAAACAAGCTTTGGTCTAATTTGTGAAGCAGCCCGAATGTAATAAAAATCACCATAGTTATGCCCAATAAGAAGTACCTGGCCCGTTGTCTTGTCCTTCACACGAAAAGAACGATCATCCATCTTAAAGAAACAATGATTATCATAGCAAAATCGACGAAGCGATAGTAAGTTCTTTTTAATGGCACTAATATATAACACATCATCCAGTATGAAGGAGCCATGTAAACCAGTTACGGAGGATTTACCAATATGAGAGATACGTAATTGATTACCATTGCCAACAATAATAGAATCAGTACCTTCATAAGGTTGAATTTGTGTGAGAGTGGAAGGATCAATGGTCATGTGATTTGTTGTGCCGGAATCAACAATCCAAGGTGTTGGTGACGGAGAATGGGCAGTAGCAATATATGCAAAGTTTGCACGTGTCTTACATTGTTTAGCTTTGTGACCATATTCCTCGCATAGTTGGCAGGGTTCGTCAGCCTCAAAAGTGGGTGGCTTGGGTGGCAGCGATGGCGAAGGAAGAAGATGATGTCAATGGTCATTAAAGGGACCACGGTTGAGTCGATGAGTATTCCAATTGGTCTGGCGATGGGAATTAGAAGAACGCCAAACACCACCAGGATGACTGCAATCACGACCTTGTCCGTGGCTAAAAGAACGATTAGAGGAGGATAACCGGTTTTTGTTGGAGATGGATTTGGATGGGCCATTAGAGCGACGATGAGCGATGAAGGCAACACCATTGGACAATGAAAGAGATGACATCTTTTTTATGAGATTTTCTTCCTAAATGAGCAGGTCGTAACAATCATCATATGAGAAAGAAGGGCGAAGATGAACAACGGTGGTAAACTCCTTGTATTCAGGACCAATGCCATCTAAAAGGCATTCAATGAGGTCATCTTCACTGATACTGGAACCAGCAGTATTAAGAGAATCTGCAAGGCTTTTGGCATGCACCAGATAGTCAGACATGGGCTTCTCCGAATCTTTCTTAAGAGTGCGAAGTTGGTCACGAAGAGTGCGGATGTGAGTCTTGAAGAGAGGTGACAGACGATTTTCCAAGAGAGTCCAAACATCATAAGCATAGGTGCAAGGGATTAGAATAGTTCGGATAGAGGATATGTAGGTAGCCTTGATCCAACTGAAAATGAGTTTGTCCCTAGAATAATGGGGATTGACAAAGCCATCATTGTGCTTCTTCAGTGGTTTAGAATTGATAGTCACGACATCTTCCATACCATGAATTTCAAGAATATCCTGAAATTGAGATCGCCAACTAAGATAATTGTTGCGGTCCATGAGAGTGTTGATCGTATGAGAGATATTGAAGGTGGTGGGAAGGGAGATAGTAGGGGCAGTCATGGTAGAGGAAGATGAATCAGAGGAGGTAGAGGAGATTGGGGTAGCAGAAACCATAGAGGATCGAATAAAGCGTTAGCTTGTGGAGAAGGCTGATACCATATAGAATTTGAGATTGGAAAGGAAAAGTATGAATGCAAAAGAACAGAGAATAGGTGAGAATAATTTTGTGATTGATTTTCTTGATTATTTGCATTATCACAGATTGTAAATATATACATATTACATCAGTTGACTTTGTAAAGCCATATAAGGCAAGTATTAGAATACAACACAATAGTAAAGACAAAGATTGATTTTCTTGATTTGCTGGACCTGTAGTAATCTCTTTACATCATAGTCCTTGGGACTGATGGCTTGCTGGACAACATGTTTCCAAGCGAGATTGAGGAGGTTCTTGTGGCAAATAGTACGTCAAAGTCAAAAGATAGGGAATCTGACCGTAGTGGTGGTGATGGTGATGGTGATTTTGATTGCTATGCATTGGCTTTGAGCATAGCGAATCTCGCCCTCCATAGCTCGTTGGATAAGTACAACCTTAGCCCTTTTTCAGAAAACGCTAAGAAAGCTGGATTTGAGTACGTAGGAGGCAAGATCGACGACATTACTGTTATTGTTGCACGCGTTTGTAAACACGGAAATTCCTGCGATGAACGAGACAAGAAACACGTGTACAAAATAATATTTGTATTGATGATTTAGGGGTTACAATCTCTTCTACAAATTTAGCCTCTGATTCTATCTTTGTAATGGGTAGATTTGATGTTGTTGATCCAAAGGGCCGTCGGGGCTTGATCTTGGGATAAACAGTTGTGCAGATTTGTTGACGTCGTGGATCCAAAGGGCCGTCGGGGCTTGATATAGGGATGAACGAATGATGGATGATGAACACTTTCTTCAAGGGCCGTCGGGGCTTGATCTTGAATTAGTGGAAGTTCTTCAAGGGGCCATTGGGGCTTGATTTCGAATGAGGATTTGACGAAGAACGAAAAGAGCTTTCTTGATCCTTCGGGATTTGCTTGGGAGCTTTGGAGTTTCAAAGCTTCAAGGTTTTGGTGTGAGGTGAATTGGTTATGAATTGGTCTCCCTAAAATGAATGCCTTGGCCTCCTATTTATAGAATTCCAAAACTTGATTTTTTGGATTTAAATAATTAGATGAAATAAATCATTTCTGCCAGGTGTTGACACGTGTCCTGTTTGATGAATTTTCCAATTTATTTTTATTTTTTCGTTTAGTCACATGCTATGTGTAAAATTTATGTGACACATAAACTTTGAAATTTTAATTATTGATCAACATTTATTTTACCGAAATTTCGATGTCTACACTAAGTTCTTTGAATTTTTCCTTTTGTTGAAGCTTGTATGTTGAAGCTTTGTGAGTGAAGCATGTAGGTTGAGGTAGTGCTCCCTTAATTTCCCGAGTGAGGAAAACTTCTCGGTTAGAGACTTGAAAAAATCCAAGTCACTGAGTGGTCGTGAGACTTCCGAGTATCAAGGAGCAGTAGCATATGGTAGGAGTCCCCCAAGTCTCCGGTCGAGGGAGTGGACGAAGGAGGTGTCTTGCTAGTAGCCAAGTTTCCAAAGTAACAAAACTTCACCATTTTCCTTTCTAAGTGGTAGCCCAAAACTCCTCCTTCATATATATTTGTTATGAAAGTTGTTAGGCTTAAAGAAGATAAGGCCTAGGCAATTTTGTTTTTTTTGAATTTTCGATTTTTTTTTTCCGAATTTTCGAATCTTTGAATTTTCGAATTTCTGAAAAAAAAAAAAAATATATATATATATATATATATTTATTAAGCTTTATATGTGAAGCTTTGTAGGTGAAGCTTTGATGTTGAAACTTTGTTGGGCACCATGAATTGATTTTGCTTCACATTATCTTGATCAAGCTAGTGTGAAGCTTTTGTAGGTGAAGCTTTTGTGTTGAAGCTTTGTAGGTGAAGCTTTTGTGGGTGAAGCTTTTGTGGTGGGTGAAACTTTTGTGGGTGAAGCTTTTGTAGTGGGTGAAGCTTTTGTGGTGGGGGAAGCTTTTGTGGGGGAAGCTTTTGTGGTAGGTGAAGTTTTTATGGGTGAAGCTTTTGTGGTGGGTGAAGCTTTTGTGAGTGAAGCTTTTGTAGGTGAAGCTTTTGTGGTGGGTGAAGCTTTTGTGGGTGAAGCTTTTGTGGGTGAAGCTTTTATGGGTGAAGCTTTTGTAGGTGAAGTTATTGTGGGTGAAGCTTTTGTAGGTGAAGCTTTGGAGTTGAAGTTTTTGTTGGGTACCATGAATTGATTTTTCTTCACACTATCTTGATCAAGATAGTATGAAGCTTTTGAGAATTTGTAGTTGTCCTCCATTGATGAAGCTTTTGTAGGTGAAGCTATTGTGGGTGAAGCTTTTGTAGGTGAAGCTTTGGAGTTAAAGCTTTGTACGTGAAGCTTTGGAGTTGAAGCTTTTGTTGGGTACCATGAATTGATTTTACTTCACAGTATCCTGATCAAGATAGTGTGAAGCTTTTGAGAATTTGTAGTTATCCTCCATTGATGAAGCTTTTGTAGGTGAAGCTATTGTGGGTGAAGCTTTTGTAGGTGAAGCTTTGGAGTTGAAGCTTTTGTTGGGTACCATGAATTGATTTTGCTTCACACTATCTTGATCAAGATAGTGTGAAGCTTTTGAGAATTTGTAGTTGTCGTCCATTGATGAAGCTTTGTTGAATTTCCTTTTTTTTTTTTTTTGGAAAACTAGAAATTTGAAAATGTGGGAGAGACAACATATACAAATTTTGCTTCCACACTGTTGAGCAAGAGATTGTGATGCAAGCCACACCATATAAATTGAATTTGCTTCGAACAATCTTGAATTTGCTTCGAAGGTTTGAGAATTGTAGTTGTCCTCCATTGATGAAGCTTTTGTTAGCACCATAAATTGGTCTTTCTTCATACTGTCTTAATCAAGAGTGTGTGAAGCTTTTGAGAATTGTGGTTGCCCTCCATTGATGAAACTCTTGTTGGCACCATAAATTGGTTTTGCTTCACACTATCTTGATCAAGAGTGTGTGAAGCTTTTGAGAATTATGGTTGAACTTCTTTGATGAAGCTTTTGTTGGCACTATAAATTGGTTTTGCTTCACTCTGTCTTGATCAAGAGTGTATGAAGCTTTTGAGAATTGTGGTTGCCCTCCATTTAATGAAGCTCTTGTTGGCACCATAAATTGGTTTTGCTTCACACTGTCTTGATCAAGACTGTGTGAAGCTTTTGAGAATTGTGGTTGAACTTCTTTGATGAAGCTCTTGTTGGCACCATAAATTGGTTTTGCTTCACACCGTCTTGATCAAGAGTGTGCAAAGCTTTTGAGAATTATGGTTGAACTTCTTTGATGAAGCTCTTGTTGGCACCATAAATTGGTTTTGCTTCACACTGTCTTGATCAAGAGTGTGTGAAACTTTTAAGAATTATGGTTGAACAGCTTTGATGAAGCTTTTATTGGCACCATAAATTGGTTTTGCTTCATACTATCTTGATTAAGAGTGTGTGAAGCTTTTGAGAATTATGGTTGCCTTCTATTGATGAAGCTCTTGTTGGCACCATAAATTGGTTTTGCTTCACACTATCTTGATCAAGAGTGTGTGAAGCTTTTGAGAATTGTGGTTGAACTCCTTTGATGTGGCTCTTGTTGGCACCATAAATTGGTTTTGCTTCACACTGTCTTGATCAAGAGTGTGTGAAGCTTTGTACGAGTTGTAGTGTTTGCATTGTTACCTAGGGGATATGTCTGAAGCAGATGCAAGAGGGCTGAATAGCTTGATCTTCGTATGCTATGCACTGAAGTTGTTGTTGGCTTGCAATAAGACTTTGTTGGTGACTATAACTCTTGTTGGGCATAAGTGCTCCCCTAGTTGAGTTGTCAAGCTTGAGGGTTTTTTATTATTTATGAATGCTAGGAGTTCACATGTACAAGTTGTACCACTCATCTTCTGGTAGGTGGACTGAATGGTGAGTTGCTTTCATCACTTGGTTGGTGTTACGAAGGTGAATTCCTTCATCACCTTTCATCACATTTCATCACCTGGTTGGTGGCACGAGGATAAGTTCCTTCTTCACTTGGTTGGTGGCATGAATGGCAAGTTGCTAAATGATATTAGAGTACGGGTTGTACATTTCATCACCTGGTTGGTGGCATGAAGGAGAGTACGGGTTGTACATTTCATCACCTGATTGGTGGCATGAAGATGAGTTCCTTCTTCACCTGGTTGGTGGCATGAGTGGCAAGTTGCCAAATGATATTAGAGTATGGGTTGTACATTTCATCACCTGGTTAATGGCATGAAGAAGGGTATGGGTCGTACATTTCATCACCTGGTTGGTGGCATGAAGATGAGTTCCTTCTTCACATTTCATCACCTGGTATGTGAGAATAAAGGCAAAGTGTCTAGGCACATTGTACCAAGTGTCGAATGACAAAAAGTATGTTGAACCCTTTCAAAGCACAGTTGGCTTATGTATAAATGTGTTGGAATGTATGATTGAACGAATATACTATAAAGCTGTTCGTTTATTTGTATAGTCTTGTTAACATATACTTAGACTTTGTTTCATGTTGGAAGCATTCATGTTGAAGCTTTGAACCCGAGTGTTTCATTACTAGAAATGTAAGAGGATTAAGACAGAGTTGTCTAAATCACCTCTTGTTTGAATTCATGCAAATAGTTTTCGTTACATAGGATGCTGAACGGCTGAAGCTTAACACTTGTACAATGTGAGTTTACTTGTAATAGTACTTCAAGTGATCAGCGTTCCATGGATTGCCAAGGGACTTGCCATCAGAGCTTCTAAGCTTGTAGGAGCCAGGGCGATTGATGCCAATAACTTCAAACGGTCCATCCTAGTTTGGACTAAGTGTTCCTTCACTCGGGACTCTGTCGCAGAGTAATATTTTCTTCAATACCCAGTCCCCAACTTTGAAGGAACGAGGTTTGACCCTTGAATCATAGTAGTTGGAGATGCGCTGCTTGTAAGCAA